ATATATATATATATATATATATATATATATATATATATATATATATAGTTTGTTTTTCGGACAATCCAATCAAGTTCATATAATTTGTTAATTTTGGATCGGATTTTTCTCTCATGTAGACTTGTCCAAAGGACTTTTAGCTCGAATCATCCGCGCGGAGAGAAGTTGTCACGCGACAATTCTAATTTCAGATCCGCCAAAATATCAAGGCTCGTTTGCGCCAAATCGGTTCAGCATCAAACCTGGTCATCGCTGGGACGGAGTCGACAGGAGCAACGGATACGAGAAGAAATGGTACGAAGCACAAAATTCAAAGGTGGCGCGACAGGAGGAAGCGTACAAGTGGAGCACAGCTGACATGTGAACGTGTTTTCACGCTTACAATAGAAGACTAGCGTGTTTATATTTATCATTAATAAAGAGAAGAATTTTTAATTTTTAAACTTTTCTTCGTTACATTCAACAATCCGCTGCTTCTTCTTTCATTTTCGACGCACGCGAAAGGATCACACGTGCCGCGTTCGCTGCGAGATGTCTTGACGCGAGCAGGACGCGTCTGTGATGAGCGCGAAATCGATATTCGTTCCAGAAAACGAGAGAAATGGAGAGGCTGGCGCCGGTCTGGCAACGGTTGTCCGCTAATAGTCCAGCCAGCGAAATATCGCCCGCGTGAAATCGATCGATGCGCTTTTAAGGTCGCAAAACCATCCGCTCCGGATGGCGGGAGAGCGCCGGGAGCATTTGACTTAGTCGTTCGCGAAGCGCGCGGTCGGGATGTGTCGGATCGAATCGGAACGGGGTACGCGTGTGGCCGTTGAATCGCGCAGGACGACGAGAGCCGGCGCGTGTCCTGGCGCGTGTCCTTAGGGAAGGACGACCGCCGTACATTGGTAACAGTGAGACTTGCGCTCTTAGTCCTGCCGTTTCGTTTCGCGCCGCACCGCGCCGGCCAAAACGCGATCTCTCTTCCGTGTGCGTGCCGTCGCCACCGCTGCCGCCACCGCCGCCGCCGTCTCGCTCCTCCGCGAGAAACGGGGGTGTTTCGCGCGGTGAGAGTTCCTATATCGGCTCGATATACATAGCGCGACTGGAACAGTCGCTTGGTCGCCACGCGAGCAAGGGCAGGGTCGTAAGCGACGACGCCAGTAGTACTGCTCGCGACGTCGACGGGATTTCTCTCACCCCTTCCTCTCGTCCCGCGTGGCTCGTGATGCTTGACTCGTGATGACATTCGGTGAGTCGACTTAAAGGAAAAAATACCTTTATCTACAGGGAGATCCTCGTCGGGACAGGACACACCGGGTCGTCATCGCGTGACAACGAGACGCGCGCGCGAGAAAGAGAGGGCGAGACGCGTGTAAGGGTTACCTTTGAGTGTGAAGAATTGTCTCGCCGCCGGGTGCCGGCGCCACGCGACGTGTCAGTAACCTCCAAATAACGGGGTGGAAGCGCAACGGGGGGAGGGTGGTGGGAGTGCGAGGAGGTGAGGAACAAGTGCCGATAGAACGCACACACGTGTGCGCGCACACACAGACATCCACATAGTATAGACATAGAAAGAGAGGGGGTAACTTTTAACAAGATTCGTCGGGTTTCGCCTAATTAACGGCACGGTTATACGCTCTCGATAACTGCGAACGGATTATATCGCGTGCTGCGATCGAGGCCGAAGTCGGGCTGACTGACGAAAATTAAAGGGAACGGCGGACTGTGTATACTCCAAGGCGCATTTCGCTGCGTTTCAACGTGTTACACAGGACTCTCCGGCGGCGAGAGACGGCGAGAGTCGGCAAGAGGGCGAGAGAGAGTGGAGAAACGAAGGGTGGAACGAATATAAGTAAGAAGGGAGCATGAGAAGGGGATGAAGGAGGGGAGAAGAAGTCTATACTCTTGCCCCGTGGAAAAATTAGGACTGATTATCGTATTCTGGCTATGAGACCGTCGTTCTGCCCGGAGAAGTGAGATCGCTCACCGCTATCTTGACTCGGTAACGCGATGTTAACGAGAAAACTACATTAATACGGCCACTTCGAGGCGAGACGCGGGTTATTTTGATACCAGAGGAGCTTTTCGGGCAAGAGAAGAGACGAAGCTGAACGAACATGGGGTGCAACACCAGCAAGGACAGCTTCCAGCCAGCGGTGGACGAGGCGAAGGAGGACTCCGTGAAGAACGGGGGTGAGGGGATTGTTCTTTCTAATTTCTCTTAACCGCGTCGTGGCTCGTACTGCGAAATTATGAACGGTAAAAGTGAGAAACGCGCTTTCATGTTCGCTCTGTTGAACCTCGCGTGACGCGCGATGTATTTTACATCTTTCATATACCATCTCGCGCGATAGAGAGACCGTAGACAATTACGATTTTGAGCGTGCGCGCGCTCGCAGCACGACGTTGTTCCTCGTTTCTTTGTTTCTTTTTGCGTCACATCGTTGCGTGATTTTTTATTCATCTCTGTAGATTGCGACCGTCCGCGGAACTTGAACGGTGTTGTTTATCTCTCTTTGACAATGACGGCGGCCGCTTTGTCTCGCGAATGATAAATGCGCCTCTGTTCGCTTTATTAGATCTCTCGAGGTGATTGCGTGCACGCTTCAGTAATATCAATGCAATCAGTAAGGTCGGCAGGCCGAACGACTATTTTCCGCACGACGAACGCATTCCTCACGAATGCAGCGACAAATAGAGGCATTTCAGGGAATCCCGCCGCTGAAATTTTATTTTTCCCGTGCCGACTCGCTACGGAGAAGCAGAGTCTGATGGAACAAAATTAATCGGATCCCACATAGCACAAGATTTAAAAGATGTCTCAAAGACAGAGAATTGCTAAATGTCCGTATAAGTCCTCAGAATATCCTAAAAATATTCCGAAAACTTCTGAATGTCCATACAACTCCCCAAGATATCCTTTCAAGATCTTATGCTATGAGGGATATCAAACAAGACTTCGAATCATTAAAAGAGTCTAATTGAGCAGAAACGCTTGGGAAAGTTCTCCTTAATAATGTTGCTAAATTATCGCTTTGACTTGGCCAGAAGTTTGTTGTAATTAGGAGAAAACGTCTACAGTAGCCACAGCACCCGTTAAATTTTATTAAATATTTAGACGTGCGCGCGCGGAGATTTATTAATTAATTATTTATTAATTATCTAACAATTACTATTTATGAATTCTTCATTGATTTTCTTTTAAATCCTCACACACCTTAATAATTTCATGATATCCGCGCAAGAGTGCCTACTACCGATCGTTCTCCCTTATTCTCGAGCTTACGTAGAGGGGAGCTTCTTGATAATCAATTGCAAGGATGAGTCTGCGTTTCGCTTACGCTTCGAATTGTTCTACAGACGCGTGAAAAACGACAAAAGCACGTTTGCACTGAGCAGAACGCAAAATCAACATTGATTACAGAAGCAAGTAGAGCTATCTCGCGATTGTCGAAATGGACAACCGTGCGTTTCGCTAGAAAACCCCCTCGTGACTCACGGTAATGCGATTCTTACCTACGGCACGCCAAGATAGACAGATAGCTGGATAGTAAACGTGACTATCTTGACGAGCGAAAAATGGGACGCTTGTAGCATCCGATGGGGGTGTATCGGAATACCGATGAAAGTGCTGATCGCGTGATGCGTGTCAAGGTCCGACCGTTCGCGGTCGTTACATTTATGAAACCGTACCGGGGAAATTCGTACGGGCGTGTTTGAAAACAGGTATCGCTTGATCGTCGACGATAAGGGGCTTTCGTAATATCCGTGCGTGTCCATGAAATATTAATAAACCCCGAATCCTCGCGCACACGCATACATCTGCATGCACTTGCGATTAATGATGCCAGTGGACTTTGCGATAGAACATGAGAAACAACTTATGACGAGCAGAGGCGTCAAGAACGGTTCGAATATCGATCGGCCGCGTGTTCTAAAAGTCCGCTCGCGAAGATACTCAAAGTGCGAGCGCGTTTCTCCACTTGGTGGTCCGACCAAGTGACAACGTCTGTCCGCACACGAATCTCCCGCTGGTACCCGGCCCATCGCGTCGCACGACGCATCAATAATTAAAGAGACACCTCCGGCGGCTTATCGGGAGCTGATATAATCACGCGAATCAGTTCGTCGAATTTCGGTACTCCCTACCTTACTGGCGGTAGCGAAGATCCGCGCGTCTAGCCTTCGCCGGCGGAATCAATTATTCGAAACTCGGATGACTTTCTGCCGAGATAATGAGGTTTTACCGATATCGACACAGCCGTATAGATATTTGTTCTCGCGCAGTATGCAAAGATAGACGGGGAACGATAATGTCGAACGACAGGACGAGGCTCGGGAGAATCGTGCACACACCACAGTCAGTGCGCCGCGATCGATTCGAAAAAAAGCTGCTGTAGCATCGATTCGTCTAGAATACGCGAAATAAATGCAATCGAGTGAAATTATATACAGGAATGTTCAATGTATTATCAAATATAGAAGCGTGTCAAATATGTATAAAGTACCGAATAGAGAATAGTTGCCGAAATCGTATATATTGGCCTCTCTGAGTCTTTTAAGTGTTTGCAGCACGCGCAAAATAAAATATAATCTGAGACTTTTTCCTTTATATTTCTCGTTGCTCTCATTAATTTCTCATTTTTACTGTTAGATGTCGTTCATATTCAATAATAATAAAGAAATTGATACGGTAAGATTTAAAAGACACGGAAAGAATAGAGTACAGTGTGCCCCCACGTGTAAATCTAGTTGTGCCAACCAGATTCGATAGGCACGAAGGTAGGATAAAAAGTGGTGCAAACTAACGCATTCAAAAAAAAATATGGTGAAACTTAATATGTAAAGTTATGCTCACATGTGTTAATACATCAGCATCGCTGGATCAAGTGCATTTAATGAAGAGAAGATTATAATTATATTATGGAAAAAATAAATAAATTTTATTGTAAAAAAATTCTTTCATTTTCACTCACAAGATTTTTTAACCCGCTCTCGTAAAATACGGAACAACTAATTATGATTGCTATACTACAGAGCTACAATCGCTGAGTTACAGCGACTCGCTGGCTCCAAGCAGAGTATATCCATAGCAAACCCCAGGCCAACCGATTTCTGATTGCCACAACCAGGTCACGCACAACTACACGGACGTACAGTTGATGTACCAAAGTAACCGAGTCATACCATCGAACCAAGTAATACTATCGAACACAAAGATAACTGGAGTGATACAACCGAATATTATCTGGTTATGTGTAGCGTATCATTTTTCGTGCACGATTTTGGCAACTCTCCCTTATATCACGGGCACCCTCGAGCAAATGTCGACTCTCTCGAGACCGGCGCGCTTGTGGGTCAGCACTTCTGCCGGAATGCTTAAAAATCTCGCTGGGACCCGGCTGAATGTCTTCGCGCGAAAAATTCCTCGAGCCTTGCGCGCTTTTTCCCGCGCTGCTAAACAAGTAATTCGATTTGAGCCGACCTAGTTCCGACCTGAACACACGAGATCGCCGCAACTTCCGCGTTCAAAGTGACAACCGTTTTTCACGATTATTTACGGTTACTCGCGGCGCGACGTGTTACTACCCCCGCGGGAATTGAGAGAGCGGAGGTTGACCGTGGCGATATAATTGAATACAAGCTTTTTCTCGTCCAACCGAGGGCTGGTTGCGCGTACAAAACGTTGCGCTTTAATTTTACGGTATATTCCACGCTATCGACGATGACCAACGATACTCCCACGCGACTTTGTTCGCGATATGATAAATGTATGAGCGAATAATTAGCGAAGATAAGTAGCTTATGTGATATAACGCGATACAGCTTGTCGTTTATCGAGGCGAAAGGATTCGACGGAGCATGTAAACTGTGTACGTGAGCTTTTCCTCTAATCCGCTTTACTACCATTGCCGGCTTCTCGGTGATTTAGACGCTTTGTGACTTTCGCGACTTCGCGTCCTCGTAGCGACACGTTTCTCGTTTCATGTTCTTCTCGTCTCTTTTGTCGAACACTCGCAAATTCATGGAATCACGAGTCACGACCAAACAGAGAGCGAGGATGAAGAGAGCAAGAGCTCAGAGACCGTATTCCTGACGCGTATTCGAACGCGAAGTATGTCCTTTTTATTCCAAGTTCCGTTTTTCTTGTACCAGCATCCCGTAAAAGATTGATTCAGCTTGAGCATCAAAAAGACCAACTGGGCGTTTGAATACGCGTGAAGAATACAACCCCAAGGCCCTCATTTGAACGTTAAATATGCCTTTCTGATTCTCAAGTTGAAACAACGTTATACAGAACGCGGGTGTATGAAAAACGAAACTTTGCAATTCTTTTAATAATGTAAACTTTTTGTTGTATTGATGCAGCAACAGACTTATACTAAAAGTTACCGTCAGATTTTCATGTTACATTTAATATGATATATTAATATGATATTTGGGGGACAAATTTCGAGAATTTTTTTTATACTTTTCTTATTATTTCTATTTGGTCATTCCACATAAACATGATGACTCTTTCTACATTTACGATTATTTTTACTATGTTTTATTATAATTTTCTTAATAATGCCAATCTATTCCCGGACTACTAAAATTGCATTGTAATTTTTACTACAATATTCTCTCCGTGTATGTGGTAGATATGAGTGCAATCTGATCAGTCATGAGGGACTGAACGTTGCCAAATCTCGTGATGTAATACTCTTAAAGTTGCTGTAACATTCACGTACATGTCAGTCTGTCGGGGCTGGAATGAAAAGGGCATACCTAACGTTCGTTACGCGTCCAGGGCCCCAGGAGTACGAAGGGTCGTAGGGAAGTCGGCGACGGCCCTGTTTCGCGGCGTGACTCGTCGTGAGGGTAGAGAATCGAGACTGCGACTGCGACTGCGAGCGGCGCGGCAGGGCCGTGATCGTTCGCGATTATAAACGGGGTCGTCGGTGCCCGGGAACAGTCAGTCGCACATCAGACCGAGCCGCGTGTGGATGTGCAGGTGAGAGGTCGAACGGCGACGACGCGCACCAAGTGCAGGTGAGTCGCGGATGCGACCTAATAAAAGCCGCCACCGACGTTATTACGATTCCTCGCGTGCATGCAGCTCGTCGTTAGACAAAAACGGGGTTAAACGCGGCGACGACGACGACGACGACGACGACGACGACGACGACGACGACGGTGGTGGTGGTAGTAGTAGCAATAATAGTAGCACTAGTAGTAGTATTAGTAGTTGAAGAGTGATATTGTCGGGACGCACGCGAATCGCGTTCGCCACGGCGATTTCGCGATCTCGCGTATCCATCGGACGGGACCACTCGGGGAAAAGCCGAACGCGATAATCGACGCCGCGCGGACTTGTAGGTGCGACCCGATATCCTTTCCTCGCCTCGTCCTCCTCCTTGTCCGCACATCCATATCCGAGGGGATACGTATCGAACGTCTTCCGCGACCCCGACGCCGGGTCGAGTTAAAGGCAACGATCATTATCGTTATAGCGATAAGCGGCGGAAGTCGTTGCGCACTCGGAAGTCCGAGATTTCAGATCAGCTGTTTGGTACCCCGACAGAGTTATTTCGATGAGTGTTGTAGGGCGTATAAACCGGTCGATGAATCCGCGACAAAGGAACGGTCCCTACCTCAGGGCGAGGAGTTATTCTCGAGATTCGCATCTCTCTCTCTCTTTCTACCGTGTCCGGGACACGCTCGACTTTTATCGCGATCGCAATTGTGATCATTGATCGCCCCTTCGTCCTCCTCGAAGATCCCCCGGCGACGTTCAGCTCGAGTAGCCAGTCGAGCGTCTCGCGCGAGTAATTAATGAACCGCGGAATTTTTCTCGCTCGCGCAGCAACCTCCGTGCTCGGGCGTCTATTAATGTCACTTTAGCGTCAATTAATGCCGATAGCCTGGACTCAAGATATCTCTCTATCTTTGGATCGCGGAGTGACGTTTGCTTTTGAGATATTAACGCACGAGCCTCTGAAAGCTTCATCGCTCGTCGACGCTTCTACTACCACGGTTTTTTCAAACGATTAATGCGTGTCCCTGCGGAAGATCGTAGCGTGCAAATATTACACTTGTACTGGGGGAAGCGTCAGAGCTCGCGTCAGCGATGACAGCGACGGAAGCGTCTATTTTGACGACGATCTCGTTGGCCACGACGATTTTTCGCCCTGCAATCGACGTAACGAGCCGCCCCTAATGGGACGCCTTGATTTCCTCGAGGGTAATCTACTTCCATCGAATAATGTGGCTCGCGTAACAAGGTCTGGGTGGATCGATGGCGAAACATCCTCGCGTGATGTCAGAAAAGAGAATGGCCAGAGCGCCAAATATCTCAGAAACCGACCGCACGAGGACGAAGAATCGCGACATTGCCCCGGGATATGAAGCTCTCATTCCGATCGATTGCAATCTCCAACGCGCGTTTTGTGCACGCGCGCCTCCTTGTCTCTTTTTTCCTTCGCGCTTTTCACCTACTTTGTAAGAGCTTCCTCTACATATATACACACGTAGCGTAGCGAGCGTCGCGCGCTCCGACGCGAAACATAAACGTCGATAAAATTACCGGGGTAACTTGTAACGGTCGATTCGCTTTGGCTTTGCACAATATAGTAAAGCAGCCGAGAAGTGCATAAGTCGGAAAGTAGTCATTGCTTATCGCAGAAAGTAGCATACTTCTTGAATTCGCATTCGCCCCCGCCATGCGGTAACCTAGGGAAACGGTGTCGCGCAAAGGCGCTCGATAGTCTGGGCCGTTCGTTACTTTTCCGCAGGAAAATCCACTTTTCGATATCGTCGATCCCCGTGCCCGTTTTATCCGTTTCGGTTCAACCGTTCGGTTCATAATATATCGCGCTGAAAGCGCCGAACGAAAAATGTACTCGGCCGCAAAGAGAGCGGCCGGGTCAGTGAAAATGAAAAAGAAAAGAGAGAAGAGGAGAAAAACGATGTCCTACTTTCGAGGAATCGAGGATCGATCCCAGCATACGAATCGAGCTGACCCCGCAGGAGGGAGCCTCGTTAGAAGACGCGACGATCCTTCGCGATTTCAACCCCAGCGAGCCGCCTGAAAAACGGCGGCTCCGACGGGCGGGATATGTCGACACGCGCGCCTCAACGGTGGACACGCCGATGAATTATTGCTCGCGAAAATCTCATTTATTCGGAGCGGATCGGGAGAATCGATCGACACGCTCGCCGCATCTCTCGCGGGGCGTGAAATATTAAAAATGTATATTAGGCGCTGTGTGTAATATCTCGAACGCGCAGCGCGAAAATAGAAACGCCAATCGATACTTGTCGCTCTGAACGTGTCTGTGGAAGGTGAAATGTTCGGAATAAATGTAGGTGAACTGTGGCTAACGCGGCGGCCATCTCTAATATACAGGATGTACATCACAAGCCGCGCCCTTCCTCCGGTCGGTTGCGGATTTTTCGAGCGCGATCCGTTTTTCCCTCTCACCGCGAGAGATCACTCTTGGAGATCGGACCTAGGTTTTATTATTGCATCACGTCGAGTATTATTTTTCATCATGGCGTTCCATTCCTTCTGATCGATTTCCAACACGTCGCGCTCTGTAACTTTTCCTTTTCCATTTGCTGTTTAAACGCCCTGATTATTTGAGATCTAAGTAACATGATTAAATTAAAAGCGAGATCATATATCGATCGCTCTCGCCCGCAGATATCTCGAAAGCGGCGGAAGACGGTGCAGCGAGAGCAGACTCGGACAAGGAGAAGGACACCGAAGACGAGAAGGAGAAGGAGGCCGCGGCCACCAAGATACAAGCGGTTTTCCGTGGACACTGCGCCAGGAAGAGTCTGAAGCAGCCGTCGGATAAAGGAGAGCCAGATACCGAGGAGACCGAGGTGTCTACAAAAGAGCAGCTCGTGAAGGAATTCCCTGTCAACGACAAGGGTGAGCGGCCTAAATATTAACTTCAAGCGAATTACTAGAAACTGATCGCGGCGGAGGGTGTATTGAAACGTATTCTATCCTCATAGAGCTGTTTAACGCAGCGACCAAGATACAAGCAACCTTCCGGGGCCACATGTCGAGAAAGGAGCAGGCCGCGTCCGCTGCCGCCAAATCGGCGATGAACATGGTCGGCAGCGCAGCCGCTAAGATAGAAGAGAAGGTGAGTCAATTGCTCGATCGCGCGTTATAGAGGCAGGTGGTACCCTTATCGTTCGATGGTCGAGTGGCGAGATAGGCCAAGAGTCTGCTCTATCTGTCATCTTTGGCCTTCGATAGCGAACGGCACATGCCCAACTCGCGCGCGTGTTCCTTTAACCTTTTAGGACTCAGTGATTTCACCGCGAAATCATCTATTATGAACCAAATCATAGCTCCAAACATAATAATCTCGCAACGAAACTACCGCTCAGGCTATACATAGTGATGCACACTATCGGTTTTTTGCGTTACTTGTAGAATTCGCTTCGGTTTGCGCGCAGTTTTAGTAAAAATAGGAAAATAGAAAAAAAAAATTAACTTCAAAAGGAACGATCTCTCGGATTGTCATTCTAGATATGTGACATGAATATTTTATTAGAATCCGAAGAATCCTGTGCTTCAAAGGGTTAAGGTCTAGTCCACAACAGATGTCGTAAGAATTAGCCAATTGCAGTTGATTATTACAAGAATAATCGGTTATGATTGACCAATTCATACGGCTTCTGTTGTACGACATCTGTTATAGATTAGGCTTGTTTTATAATATGTCAGTCGGATGTCGAAACGCAGTCGATGATTCAATAAGAGAGTTTATTTTCCATAAACGAGTTCTGCTCATTCGGACCATCGACTACGTTCCGACATCCGATTCCGACATACAACGTATCATAGAATCGGTTTTAAGCTCGTATCAAACTAAGGCCGTCTTACTGTGATTGATATTCTAAAAGCCCAGCGGTCGGGTCGGCCTGTCGAGTCTGATATCGTCTTTAATCGCACGGAACAATATCGTCGACGCTGAGAATCACAAATCGTATCACGAGTAAAATGTTTAGGATTCGGACAGACGAAAGGTTACGCTGACGATGCCGATGAGGCGATTAATCGTTCAATAAGCGCACGAACTTACTGACTTGACCGGACACGCGCGGTATCGATTCGTTGATATGTGGTGTTGGAAACGATCAGAGACCGCTTAAGGTCAACGCTGCTAATCGTCGTTAAGTATAGGAAGGTGTAAGCGATTACTTCCGTTGGGCGGTAACCCTAATTGCCGATCAGGGTCTTTCGGACGTCGCGAGAAACGCCGTTTAACTAAATCGATAAAACGGTGTGAGGACGGCGAGTTGATTTCACGCGTTTCGCGGTAACCAATCCAAAGAGTAAACGGAGTTCACGAGCAACACGAATGCACTGCAATGTTATATTTTTGAAACGGCAACACCCCCACGACAAGCGTCACGCGATCAAATTCAATTTCTTCTCGCTTCGATACGCCAATGTTGATTCGATCGACGAAGCCGGTAACGACGACAATGACGGTTTCGATGCGCAAGGTCGCTGCAGCGAGAGATCGATCATTACTCAAGGTTTCTCAGAGAAAGCTATTGTTAGGCCCTTTGACATTATGTTGATCCACGAATACTCCGGCGAGTAATCGACAGCTGCCTGCCAAGCTGAAGATGCTCATCGGGCTAGCGAAGCGCCACAAAGCTCGTCTCGAAGGCTAGCAGACCGGCATGACCTACAAAGTTTGAGTTACTTTCGTTGTGTCGATTAATTATGCACGGGCTGGTTGGCTCGTAACGTAACGGGATTCGATCTAACGTCGATACGGTCTGAGTTTTATTCACGTAGAGCCGGGGCTGGAGTGACGCGGCGATCGGAAAAAGTCAGGCCGACGCGAACGAGCGAGCAAGTGAGCGCGACGTGTGTTCGCATCCCGGCGGGAGTTTTCTTTTTTTTTATGTTTCACCCCTTCTGGACCTCTCTCTCTCTCTCTCTGCCGTAGATGCAGGACGCCGTGCACGAGTTAGAGGGGATCGACTTGGCCGATCCGGACCTGCACAAGGCGGCGACTAAGATACAAGCGAGTTTCCGCGGTCACAAGGTCCGCCAGGAGGTCAGCATGCATTGTACTGCCGACGAGTCTAAAAAATAAGACGCTTACGCGAACGCAGGAATGCCGGGGGATAGATAACTAACTTATTAAAGAGCCAGTGCCATTCTTAACAGGTTGACAATGCCAGCCGCCCCTGCCCCGCCCCCCGCAAAACCAACAATCCCACACCATCCTACCCTCTTTTTCTTGTACCTTATTATGATGCAGCAAAACGCGAATTAGTGAGTCGTGTGCGTAAAACGTACGAGGCATTCCTCTTGCGAGATGAAATCATCGAGACAATTTCCCGATCGTTAGCTCGCCGAGCCGAGCCGAGTCGAGTTGAGTCGCCAGTTGTAAACAACGATACCGTTTATTTTATGTTCATTGCGACAATTAACACAGCCTTCGCCCGGGACCAGTGAGACTTACGCGCGTAAGCTTATACTGTACTTTGGCTAGAAATGAAGATCTCTCAAACAATGTATATGCAGGCTGAGGCACAATGGGAACATCTCAATATTTCTATTATTTACGAATACATATGTACCTATATATGAAGAAAAAAGAATTGTCACGGAACGAACGAGTCTGCGCAAGGGCAGGATATACGGCGAGTAAGTGGAGAGAAAGAAGCGTTGTTCCTCTCGAGCCGAGTCTTCTAGACCGATAGATTAATTTTTTATCGAGCCAACGTTTGCTTTCGAGCTGCCCACATTTTTCATGGATTACGATAGAGAGAGAGAGACGAGACGAGCGGATTTTTCCGACAGACGACGGTATCGCGGCATAAGTTACGTGAAGCGCAGCAATAGGAGAAGAAAGAAGGACGTAGATAAAATGGAAGTGAGAGGGGGAGAGATAATCTCTGCGAGTACTCGACGAGACACGGAGCTGTGCCTCGCGAGACCGGGAGAGACGGATTAACAAGAGAACGCGAACTCTCCTCGCGTCCTGATCCTCGAAATTCGGAGGAATCGCGAACGATCGGTTAGAACTTTCACGTTTTATACGCACGACACCAAAGAACAGAGCATACACATTAAGAGAAACGCGTACCAATGATTCAACGCACGAACACGTACAAGTTCCTGTATTTGTAATCGAAATAAACGGTATGGTTGTGGCGCCTCCAATTTTAAACTTACGAATAACGATGAGAAAGAGAAAGAAAGAGAGAGAAAGAGAGAGAGAGAGAGAGAGAGAGAGAGAGAGAGAGAGAGAGAGAGTGTGTGTGTGAGTTGCATACGGCTGTCTTTTTCGAGCATTCTTTACTACGAAGTATTTTCGAAGCACGGTTTTTATTGTTAACCCTTTCACGTTCCTGATTTGCCAAACGTCGCACGAGATAAGCAAAATATGATGACCAACTGTGCGTTATCGGCTTTTTAACCACATCTTTCCACGCTTATAATGCTTTTCCTCCTTGCTCTTTCTCCCTCCAGAGTTCGATGTATGTATATACATTTCATTTTCCGTTTTCCGCTTTAAACGCGGAAAATGTAAAGACGTGTCTTCGGCAAGAAAGTAATAACATGGACAATGACCTAAAAACACAAGATAAGTCGAAGACTACTCTTCGATCGTCACATTCAACCTGTTAACTTTAGAGAGGGACCGTGTGAGTTTCAAGAAATACTTTTCCGCATACCTGTCGAGTATAAGAGGGACTAATCCCACACTTTTGAGTAATTTTTCCAAACGCACGTAGAGTAAGAAGACATCTTACTGTACTTGCGTTACAAATGCAATAAAACCTCTATTTAACGGAAAGCATGATGATGGCGGTGGGCTTCGGAAGCTTCGAGGAGCAAAGTCCATAATTATATCCACAGATACGTAGAACGATGATCTGTGGAGCTCCCTACTAATATTCTCTCCAATATTAACTCGATATCGCTCAAGCGCATTTTCGCAGATGCTTCTCACGCGTTAATGTACCGAAGGCACCTAAAATAATGCGCTTAGAAAACAGCATGTGCGATTTCGTCGACCTGTTCGCTCGATAATGGAGCGGCCAAATCAGCCATTAAATAGAGGTTCCCCGTACTATCTCTAATCGACTAAAAGCGTGCGTGAAATGCAGGATTCGCTGCTACTCGAAAGAAAGCTTGTGGAGGGAAGTCCGACAAAATCGCGTTCCTTCCAATCGCGATCTCTTCGAGCTCAACAACAGTTTACGCGCACGTACCAAAGTTAAAGCGCGACACTTTCCCTCGACGATTTAGCTCGCCCGATAGAGGAAAGAAATTCTCTTTGTAATCGACTGCTAACTCTGTTTAACTTCGCGTTTCAATAATTTGCTAACCTTCGTTAACTTTCTGTCGAGTGGGCGATCTAGCCTATGACCTCGAAAGGCAATTTATTTTACCAGGCCTAAAGCATTCGTCCGCGTACGCTCGCGCGTATCGATCTCACCTCTTGTGTGTATGCGTGTGTGTGTGGTGTGTAAATGTGTGTGTGTGTGTGTGTGTGTGTGCGCGCGAACGTGGCAACGAGTGGTCGGTGAAAACGATTCAAAATACAGAGGGCAGCAAGCCGGATAACGCGATCTTGCACAACTGGATCACTCCAGCTATAAACTGTACGTTCTTCAATGCCAGCTTTACTCGTCCACGAAGCAGGGTACTGCGAATTTATTATTTCGACTTTCTTCGTCCACACAGAGTTTTTCTACCGAGCGGATATTGCTTTGGTCTTCGCAAATTTGCGCGATTTTTGTATGTACCGATAAAGGAGTCGGAAGAGAAGACATTCGTGAATTACGCGTCGAGAGCAATTCGCGCGACATTTTCCGTGTGCGTGTGCGCGTGTGTATGTGTTTGTGTGTGTGTGTATATGTGCGCGCGTGCATGCGTGCGTGCGTATTACACGTTTAAAACCGGCTGTCAGAAAAAGATAACTGCACGTTGCGATCGCGACGAAATTCTGCAGTTCGACGTAGTAACATCTGCTGCAAAAGAGCGAATGTGTCGGGCGATATCTTCTCAATCGTTTTATTTTGCACGTAATATCTTCGCGCGCGATTGGTATCGATTGCGATGGTACGTGCAGCTATTGTACAACAGCCGGCGAGATATATAAGATATATAGTTGAACGTATTATTCAATATCCGATACTTTTTGCTTTCGAGTACACCGTTTCCCACACAATTCCCGTACCTCACGTTCCTTCCTCTCTCAATTTCTGATGATCCCCCCGAATTTCACGATGGTAATTTTCGATTTCCAGAGTCGAAGGCAGCTTGCTACAGAGCAAATCCTCCAGTTTTTCTTATTGCAATTACGTTTCACACATAGTTTTCAGTTCCCGGTTTCCAATTCTTAATCACTATAAACGAATATTGTGTCTTGAATCACACGATTACACGGATTACTCATAGGTTGTCTACGATTGTCGCTTGTAGAAAGTTGAAACGAAGCTTTGGCTATCGTCGAAAATGATCTACCGTCGAGCAACGTTGTATGTGTTTCACGTCGGAGTGACTATTGCGGACGAATAACATTTGTTATTAACGTCATATACATTAGTGTAGAATGGAACGTTGCGCGACGAATAATAGACATTTTTGTCGATACGTTACTTTATCACGTATAAATAGTTTAGTGGTGCACACACAAGAAGTTGTGGTAAAATATATTGTAAGAATGTAATAAAACAACCGTACTACTGAAAGGAGCGTCAATTACCTTACTCGTATTGTCCTGATGCCTATCCTGACCGAAAATTTTCATTATTTAATAATATGATTTATCATCAGGTTGCGAAGACTTTTACTTCCGATTTTTACAGTCCGTCGACGGATTGGAGGGAAGAGAATTTATCCGACGGATCGCAATATCCAAAAGTGAAAAGTTCATCTAATTTATCGTTAAATCGTACTAGTGGAAAATAAAAAAGAAATCGTTCGATCTGCCACTGAGTCGACTACTTGAAAATCGTGTTTCTATGACTTGAGCCACACTATTTCGATTTCTCGTGAATGATAGTGACCATTCGCAATAGCCACACAGTTCATGCATAGTAAAAAGATGCAAACATTTTTTTGATGAATTTGTATCTCTGCGTCCAATAAAACTTCCCAGGTAGCACGGAGAATTAAAAAAAATTCAGTCGTATGTCACCAATTCTAAATTCATTTTTAGATGCAAAAAGAATTCTTCAGAGTTTAGTTAAGTGAAAGAATTCTTTTTGCATCTAAAAATAAACTCAGAATTGATGACATACGACTGAATTCTTTTTGAATTTTCTGTGTTATCTGGGTTAAGCCTGGATCTACAATGTGTATGTTTGTGTGTGTGTGTGTACTCTTCACTTCTTATCCTTTATCTTTTTCTAACTACCCATACAGCACAAATGTTCATTAAATATTCGAATGTTCTATATTAAGAATGTTCTAAAAATATTCGAATATTTTTAGAACGTATTTATTAAACATTTCTGCTGAACGGATAAAGGCTCAAGATTTAAATCAAAAAGAGATAAAGAAAAAGAAACAGGAAGCACAGAGCACATTGTAGATCAAGTTTTATTTTTAGCGATTCGCATAAAATAAATTGTCCTATTGAATACCGCATGCACACACATACACATTCCGAAACTTATCGGAAAAAGGTAAGTTCCTGTTTCTCACTGTAGTCCTATATAGTTGACGTTCTTTTCGTCAGATGTCAGTTAGCAGTCACATTCGATAGCCATATGGTGCACTTGATGTGTCAAAACATCGAATGCGAAAGCACACACGATATCATGCATCTTATGTACTACTAATAATGGATAGCTTCGGCATTTTATTACTTATTTAATATCAGTATAATTCTTGTGCTCTTTCTCTCTCTCTCTCTCTCTCTCTCTATATACATATATTTATATCTAAGTCTTTCCTAACCGGCAATGGGCAAGAGATATTATTGCGACTATTGTGACAGATCCTTTAAAGACGACGTCGAAGCTCGTAAGAAGCATTTGTCCAGTCTACAGCACATGAAAAATCGAGCAAATCATTACAGCATCTTCAAAGGTAAGGTTCCAAGAACGTTTGTTCAATACATATATCCGCTATATACATAACCTCTAACAATCAAGCTGTCATCTGTTCGGGGCTATCCTGAGAATACTATAATTTCTTGCAGTCTTTCTCATTTTACTTTTATAAGGTTGGTTAAAATATAAAATTAAGCGAGTTTTTTTGGGTCAATAGCTAGAGTATTTTAGTTTAGGCGCATTGTATCTACATATTTTTGTATCATAACTGTCGCTTTTGAGAAGAAGCAGAGACTTAGCCACATTAAATGCAATGATAATACACACGCTGAACGCATATATGTATTATATTGTTATATTTAATGTCACTGATTTGTCGATTTTTCTCTAAAGCAAGTTATGATATAAAAATATGTAGATATGATACAAGTCTGAATCAAGATATCCTACCTGGAAATAAAAGGTCTTATTTCCTGTTTTACATTCTATTACTTGCACTTCTTTGGTTAAAATAATGATTAGAAAATCATAGAAAGTATTGACTTTCTTTTCCAGTGGTAATTTTGCATCTCCTTTCCTATTAAGAAATTTCATAAATAAATTGTACTACAAATTACTATATCCTCTATAAATATATATGTATATTTACAAGAGATATAATTATCTATCAATTTATTTATGAAATTTTCTAGATGCACTCTGGAAAAGAGGATGCAAGATCATCACTGGACAGGAAAGCCAGCATTTTCTATCATTTTCTATTCATTATTTTGACCACAAAGGTGCAAGTAATAGAATATACACGGGACTCCAATAATGCCTTCCATTTTCAGATAGGATATTTTAGCTAACGTTTGCTTAAAATTAATATCTTCAGATCCAGAGACAATACTGAAGGAGGAATACAAAAAAACTCCGTGTAAACGCCACATGAGTTTCGGGGACTGCGCTTTCGGTTTTGGTTGTCGATTTTCGCATTACACACCATATATGATATGGACACTGGAACGACTCGGTAATTACATTCAACGTCATATACGACAGTAACCATGCGCGAGATGAGTTAATCTTCCACGAACAAAATTTTTCCCCACAGTCGCAACGAAGAATTCCAAAGAGTCGCTACCGCCCAAGGGTGGTTGGCCGAATCCAGAAGATATCATCAAAGAATACTTCAAGAACGTGACTGACTCGAGCGACATCGAGGAGTTTAATTACCCGGTTTGGAATATATCGTCGCAATTGGTCGATTATCCCAACTTGCCGCCGTCTCTGTGGCCCAGTACGCCCGAAAATGCGGTAAACAGCAGTTTAAGCAAATGGGGTTGAGCGAGTGATGGCGAATGATGTGACGTAAATAACTCATTTCTACAAATAATTACATTTCGTTGTGCAGTATATTGTATTCTCACGATTTTCTATCGCATACTTTTCCAAACTACGGATGCACTTCACTAGACGCTGCAAGTGCTTGGCAGCGCCGTATAGACCAATCACAGCTTTTCTTTAAGCGCTTCAGAGCGTTTGCGGCGTCTAATGGATCGCACCTCACGACTCGAACGTAAGCTCCGTTATCCCGCCAAGTTTCAAACCAAACGACGCTGCTTGCCGTCCAAGCAAAGTCCCTTTCATTCTCCCCTCCCGTGTTCAACCTACACCAATCGCCAAACGGATCCGGTCTTCACACAGTGACGTTGCCATGGTACAAAGTGGCGATGCACTCGTTGCCACGACAGTATAGCGTAGTCGGCACGTGACGCGACGCGACGCGACGCGCCGTGTTCGTCGAATTGACGTCGGTTTGTCGGAGACGAAAAAGAGCATTCGTTCTGCCCGGAGGCGAAACGGAGATCGACTTCTCGCGGGTGCACGCTGAAAATTCGTACGGAAGAAGGATGAGTGTTCGCGAACGCCGGTCCCTCGTATTATCACGCGCGAGTGCCTGGACGCGTTAAAAAAGGAAAATCCGGAGTGCCACCTGGAGGGGCCGCTGCCGATTTAGCGAGATTGGATTCTTCCAGGTCGCGTCGGTGAGTCCCCCGATAAATTCCTTCCCACACTCACCGTGGCGTGAGCGCACGCGAGCGGGATCGCAGGAATTCATAAATTGCAGCGCAGGAAAAGAGGAAGTTGCCGAGCGCATCTGGGAAACACGATCGAATCGAGCGTTCCGAAAAGCGGCGAGAGAGCAGGTCGACCTTTTAGTTGCGACGCATATCAAACGCGTGCGGGGGAGTTGAAAGGATTTTCCGCAGCGATTTTTCTCGAGGATCGAATTCTTGCCGCGGACTCGAGACAACACGATAACGCTCGGGTTCGCCGGAAATTGAACGAATTCGACGCGGATGGCGCGACAGAACGCGATCCTGTATTTTACCGCGAACGAACTGTCCACTCTATTATAGCCGTAAGAGTATGGGAGCGAGACGCAAGTAAACTGACCAGCCGTAGTCGATTATTGAATTGTAATAACCCCATTGATCAATTAGCTCAACGTCTTGCTGCGTACAGCTCATGATTGTTGTAGAATGGACTTGATTCGCCTGTAAAAACGGATAATAGCACGCGACTTTGCAGTTTCTGCGAGCGGGCAGCTCTCCGTGCAAGTACGGAAACTGAAAGTTTTCCGCACGACGACCACTCGGACGCGGCGATGTACGCTCCGTTTGCGGCGTGCGCGACATCGTGTCTTGAATAAAAAGTTTCTGCTTGCTGGATAGGCCAAGGACGGACCACTCGTGCGGCCACCACTATCGCTGAATGTACTTTCTTCGGAGTGTTTCTCGGCCCGCGCGGATCGCGCTTCAGGAATTCAACCTGCCGGGGCACATCCCCGCCGCGCGATTCCCTTCGTTTCCCTCTCGCCGGATGTCATCCGTAGAGCTAAGATGACAAAAGCCACAGGATCTTCGCTCTCCGATCTTATTCCCGTCCGCGCCGACACGCCGAGTCGAACATCACGTGAAACAAAATATAGACGCGTGATTCCGTGCGAGGCGAGCGGAGCGTGGAAAATTAGAAGTAACCGACTTCTCCCGGCTATATCGAATACCTCAACACTATCGATCTTTCTTTGTGATCACTTCGATTTTCTATTTATGCGAAATTCATTTTGGTTTACTTAAAACTCTACTCTGAATCTCATTGATTGCAGTTAAAATTTTAACGTGGCGATGTTATCGTTGACATGATCGGTTTACTTTTAGCTGAACTCAACAAAGTTATGATGGCTACTTCTCAACATTAATTTATTACTTAATATTATTTCGGTAACGGTCTTGTCGGCTTTAATATTGCGACTAACATTCATGTCAATTTGCGCTGGTCTTTTACTAATTGTAATGCGTTCGTGTCGTAAACCTTGAGTTTTATTATCACTAAAGGGGGTTCATGGTTGAGCCGAAACGTATGATTGTTTTATATTGATTATTCATGTTCAGTAAATATTACACGATTTCCTAACACAAGGAAGGTTTTTTACCCATATGGTATATAGCACTATTAGTCCTGTGCTTGAACTCGAATTGCCCTTTTTCCTATTTTTTGATTAAAATTTTAACTTTATCTAAGGTGGATTAACTATCAACGCGCGTTTTTATCCGAGGATCCTGAATTGATATACGGATGAATAATTGTGTGTATAGTCCTTTCCGCACATTTGCGCAGCCATAAAATAAATGAAAAATAAACGGGCCGGTACGGTAGACGAGGGATGGCAAGCGCGGCGTGACGGCGTGATGATGGCAACGACCCGAACAGCTCTGTACAATCCAGTCACGATTCTCGGTGGAGGTCGTGACCTTGCCGATATGCAGGATACGAGAGATATGGAGAACACGGTGGAATACGGACGATAATCCTGTATTCGTTTTCGCTTTGCAAAGTTTTAACGCTCGAAGCTTATCGCCGAATTGAGAGTGGTCTCTTCTTTTTCGAACGATGGCGCGGAGCTCGAAAAGTAGTAAATCAACTAAATAAAAATAAAATAAAATATCGAACTATTTCCATCTGTGCTAATAAGCTGACAATAGAGACAAATAAACAGGAAATTTGTGAAGCAATTGCGAAAATTAAGCCCGATCTTGCATTTAAGATCGTCTTAAGTTTATTTTCAGATGTTCTGTAGTCAATAAAATAATTTATGCAGTATTTGAAGATAAACTTGAGATGAGAGAGAGAGAGAGAGAGAGAGAGAGAGAGAGAGAGAGAGAGAGA